ATTGATTGATTGATTGATTCATTCATTGATTCATTGATTCATTGATTGATCTGACAGTATAGAAATGTACTCGTTACATCAGCTCAAATAGTCAAAGGAGGAGAATGTACCAAAGGAAAAAAAATGGTGCATGGGATATATAGTGTATGCAGGAATGGAGAGGTGTGTCACTGATCTCATAACGCAGTGTAATATTTTGATAGGGCTGGAGCCATGGAAGTCTCTTCATTTACAAACTTTTATGATGTAATGATGTGGCATACTGTAGTTGTATAAAATGCTTCTTTAACTGTGATTTGGCCAGGTTGGTAAGCTGCTCTAAAAAACTTCTCTAATCTGAGTAAGTTTATAATTTCTGTCAATTTCTGTTGTCATGTCTAATGGTTATTTAATACATATACATTATGAAGTGTTTTATAAAGAGTTTGTTCCGAGCGATCGCTCCTCAGGAAAAGAACCAGAGAGGAAGCTGCAAGGTGTAAACACAGAGCTTTCATTTACGATAGTAAATCTAATAATAGTTAAAATAAAATATTGATTTGTACATTTGTTTTCTAACATCATTAACGTCTCAGAGATTTCTCATTATGACTTCCTAAGGACTTGAAATTTAAAATTGAACCTGGATCTGACTGGGGACTTGCAGATCTTGTTTCTCGAATGTGGCAACCTTCCAGTCTTAACTTCTCACATGACTTTAGACTTGGCTACAAAGACTTCAGACTTACCTATGATTTTCTAAGTCTCGACTTGGTCCAACCTTTGGAAACTTGAGATAAGTTGATTAATTCATACTTGATTACTGTTGTTTAAGCTGATAATGTTCAGATCTATAGCTGATTAAAACTGCCTCCAAAGGACTTGCATCATTTTCATCAGGCTCTGCTTCTTAATCAAAGAGTAGTTGTGCTTCTTAAGTGTTTTACAAGCTCCTTAAATGTCCTTTGTTCTAAACATTGATCTGCCCAAACAAATTCTTTAATGCTGTTAAAAAGAAACCACAGTTTGCAAAGAAGTAGGGTTTCTGATGACAATGTTATGCAATGACCTGGCCAAAAGATGTTCTTAAACGTGGTTAAAGATGGGTTTTTTTTGTAAAATTCTATCCTGGAAAAATAAAGGTTTTAATACATACTTGAAAGCTAAAAAAATGCGACATTTATTCATTGTTGACAATGAGTGTACCGTCTGACCTCTAACCCCATATAGTTTTGCATCTTATCACATAGAAACTAGTACTAATTATAAACATGCTAGAAAGCTGTAAATGTAATATTTTCATGTCTGTATTTATGTTCTATGTCTTCAAATAAATTAAACTGAATTTTAACTGCAAGGTTGACAGTTATACCTGACTTTAATATTGAATTTAAAATTAGGTGTGACTGTGACGTTTACAATAAGTCAGAATGGTATTAATACTGTAAGAATCCAATGTATTCTGAAGGGATTTGTTGTGGTAAGAATAATTTACTGTAGGGGATAATTGTGAAGTTGAAGGAAAAGTAAACACATTATTATTGTTTTTTGGTACTCATTTAGCATTTTGGAGTGTTGCATGTACTTGTACTATATGTTGATGGATTAATTTGTTGTAAAATCATCTCTCACAGCACTTACTGATGCATGTTTTTGGAGTATATCTGTACCAGCTATGAATACAGTATATGCAGAATGAACTATTCTTTATAGTTTCGTTTTGCAAAGCTGAGAGCCTCTTTGAACTGCAGCATAAATCTTTCAAGAGATTTTGAATCGGATATAGGTCTGGAAATTTTACATTCAAAAATTATTATGATTTAATCCAAAGCCTTCATTCTAAGGTGATTCTCTTGCTTACAAGTCAATCTCCAATACATTTTTATTCCCTTCCCCTTTTTTTCAGGGCTTTTTTATCTCCTCCAATTTCAACATCAAGTCTTACCAGCTTCCCTGTTCTTGCTAAAGAAAAACATTTTGCACATAATGAAAGTCATAGCACTGCATGTTTCTTTTCAGCTACAGATTTTCATCAAGGCCTAAATGATTCATATTGGTTTCATCTGACCAAACCCTATAGGTAGATCTGTAGCTGTGTGATTTACTTTTTAATTTAAGATATTGGACAAAACAATTCACAGTAAGAGCTTCATAACAGTATAGGTTTAGATCATCAGCCTGGTATAAAATCCTCTACATATTTTTTTCCAGTGGCCTATCGGATATTTTTCTTGGTCTCCATGATGCTGTTTGCGCTTTAATATTCTCAACAAATCTACACACCTTTAAAGAACAGCTGGGAACACTAGTGAGAGAAAATGCTTTACATTTGATCTAGTGGTATGAGACCAAAAAAGGAGC